GCCAATCTAAAGTACTACTACAGTCCGTTTCAAAAAGATTTACAACCCTGGCGATCGCCCGCGGAGTTTGGCGTCTTACCGTATGAGCACTCGAGCGCTGCCTGGAAAAACTCACTGTGAACTCGAAGAAATATTCCGCGCGAAAGCAGGAAAAATGACAACTCACTCACGTTGATACTGTCATGTACGTCTGGTTTACAACAAATGAGTTCTTCCTCGTATCGATAATGGAGTCAGAGAGGACATGTCGAAACGAAAGTGTTGTAAATGTTGACGAGCTGCATGGGTCCCAATTCGTTTTGTGACCAAAATAGTTTCTTTGAGCTGCGATGCAATTTACTCACCGTGTGACGAAAACGACATCGACACGGACATATTCCCAAGGCCATGACTTCGCAAAGCTATCCGTGTGACTTCGACGACATTTTGAGAAAAGCAGACGCTTGTGAACGATGATAGAAGACGGCGTTGACTGCTAAATTCAAATAAATTGGCGATCTTGAAATACTAAAAGAAATCTCAAAAAGCTACAGCGTGATGACTTCCATTATAATTCACTCACACCATTGCAGTGTTGTGGGTGTGTTCACATGGCGTGAGCCAGTCAAGTGTCAGTCAGTTCGACAGGAAGCGCGAGCTCCAACAACAAGTCGTTTGGTGCAGCCATCTTCTTTGTCTTGTATGTACCAGCTTGATCACCAAAACAATGAAAAAAAAGTTTGACTTGAGGATAGGTTGGGATTTGAACTCACAACTTCATGGTCAGCAGACAGCATTCGTAACCACAAGGCCAAAAAGGAAAGGATAAATCGTGGGTTTTGATAAAAAAATCGATACTGGCTTCCTGGGCAAATTGTAAACCATGGGAAAAGGCCGGAAACCTGGCCGAAATTCTAACTCCTTAACGGTTGGTCCAATTGTTCCGAAACCTTCACAGAACAATTTGCCGTGTCCTGACAAGCCATTCTATGTACTTGGTTGTCCAAATTTCCCTTATCTTCATAATTTTTAAGACCCAAACCTGATTGTAAATCTTTTTGAAACAGACTATAGTAGTGAGTCAGTAAAACGGTATAAAATTAATTATGAACAAAAAACAGAGGTTCCAGGCTGTCCACAATGGTCCAAGACTTGCTCAATACCGAGAGGCAGCTGAGCTACAAATAGTCACGCAATAAGAAGACGGAAAAGGTGTTTTTTAACTCGCCACCTTTTCATTGGGCAGATCTGCCCGTTTGGTTTGCGAATTAAAATAAACACAACAACGACACGTTGTTACTTTAAGTCATATCAGCATGAAAAAGGTTTTTGGTCTCCCTCGCCGTACCCCGACTGTCTTTGTTTTGCGGCACGCTAAGTTATACTCCCTCGAATCTCGTCTCAACTTGAGGCTTTTTATTTTTGTTTTCCGCTGTATTCATCAGCTTACAAGTCCTCTTCTTTCCTCAATGTTCACCCTCCAGTCGGCTGCTACTTGCACCGAGAGGCGCACTAGAGGGCAATCATTCTCTTCACTTTCTTTGCCCGCTGCTACCACTAGATATGGCATGTTCTCTATTTCTTTCCTTGGCGCTGATAGGTGGAATTCTCTGCCTGTCTCGTGTCGTCAGGTTGAGCATCTATCCGTTTTTGTTTCGCTCTGTAAAGAGCACTTAGGGTTCCCTGTAACAAGACGGCAACGTCTGTAGCTGTAGGGCCTTCCTTATCAAAATAATCAATTCTACTACAGTGTACTACTACTACTACAGTACTACACGCACAGTATAGTACAGTCGTATTGTAGTAGTTAGTTTTCTTTGTTATGGACAGGGAGTAGTACTACTCCCTGGTTATGGATATGATTTCTTTTTTCTTTTTCTTTTTACCAGACGATACGCGTAGCTAGCTAACGCGCTCGCGCTATAGCCCTAGCATAGCCTAGGGCCGGCGGCAAACATAATTTTTTTCTTTTTCTTTTTACCAGGCGTGCGTAGGCCCCCGTACGGGCGTGTAATATGCCGGCATTTTTTGAGCATTTTCGATACAATCCGCGAACCCAGCACTTTGGGCTCGTGATGCAGCATTTTGGGGGAAACGGAGCACTTGGCCGTTGTGTATCAAAATTGAGAGAAGAAAAACTTCCCAAACAAGAACGTTACTTCCGCATTCCGTGGGTTAGCTTCTTGTTGAGTAGTTTATGAATTGAAAATATGGTGTTGACCAGGGAGCCTGGTTTTGACGACGTGTGCTGAGGATTACAAAAAAGTGAGCATTTCCCGGGCATTTTCGGCAAAGTTTGGGAGCATTTTCGGCAAGGTTTACGAGAATTTCCCAAAAGCATTTTCGGCAAAGTTTCGGGCATATTAGGCCGATTCCACACTACACCAAATCCTGCCTAAAAAGCCATTTTTCAGGCACTTTTCAGGCAAGTTGCCATGGCGATCACTTTGAGGAACGCTCGAAAGTGAAAAGTGCTTGTTGTCTACAAAGCAACACCAGCACCCTCTTTCAAGGCAACTTTTTACCTTTTCAGGACACTTTTCTGACTTTTCTTCAGCCTTTCGATTTTTTCCGAATGTGTTCCCTGTCGTATCTTTCAGTTGTGGTGAGTTGTGGGCTGTCAACAATGCCTAGGGTCATGTGTAGCCAGGAGCTTGAGGGCAAGCTGATCGAGCTTTGGAGCGGACATTTGAGGCGACCTCCGGGCGGTACAGTTCGCAGGAGCTACGCCGGAGGAGATCGCCATCAAGCTGAATTTGTTTGCTGAACAGCTCCGGGAGGAGGCAATCTATACTGCGTCGATCGTCCATTCCAAAATTGACAACATGAAAACGAAGGCGAAAGGACTGTACGAGACATACACAACGAAAACGGCCACCGGAATGCCTGTTGGCGAGGTTGACAAATATTCGACCTATGATCTGGAATCCGCCTACACAGCGCGCGCTAGCGTGGTCAAATTTCAAGATTGGGCACGCGAAAATGGGTGATATTTGGACCAACAAAGAGCCTCTCCACTACCGCCGTTGCTACATCAAGCACAGGAAAGCCTCACAGTCTAACCTTCAAAGCAAAGTCCCGTGATCGACACTTGTAGGTGTGAATGCAGCTTCACTTTATAAGCCACTTTATGCCTTCAAGGCAAAGCCACTTTCGGCGTAGTGTGGAATCGGCCTTACACCGGGCCCTAGGCTAGGTGTGCGTCATGTTGTAGGCGTTTCACACTCACGTCTTTATTCGCGTCTTCGTCTTCGTTGCCTAGGCGATCGCGGGAATCCCCAAAACGTGAGCTGAAGACTTCAAAACGCAGACGCGGCCCTGTGGGCAGAGTCTTCGGCCGGCCACGTCTTCGTCTTTTTTGTCGTCTTGAACTCTTGTCTGGCCTATCCGCATGCGCAGAGATCTTGGCGGGGAAATTTAAAGTGATGCAACCTGCTAGCTGCATCTGTCAAAAGAATTTTCTTCTTCCGTTCTCTTCGACTTTGACATTGAGGTTGTTGTTGTTGATTTTTATTTTACTTCGCAAGGCCAAACGGGCAATGTTGCCCAATTCTATGGAAGCGAATTTCAAATGGGAGAGAGCTACGGGGAGAGAGAGAGAGAGAGAGAGAGAGAGAGAGAGAGAGAGAGAGAGAGAGAGAGAGGGGGGGGGGAGGGAGGGAGATGATAAGCAATTTTGCGGCGTCAACAGAGCGATTTTGCAGTGTCAATAGAGCGATTTTGAAGCGTCAACAGAGGGAACACAAAGAGTTCATAAGCGCACAAGCACGCAGAGAAGAGTAAATGACGGTTCCGTTCTTTTCTTTTCATACCGGTGCCTTTGTAATAGGTCGCCGAGTGGTATCAGGAGGCACACACAAGAAGACTGACTAATATTATATTCTTCGGCTCAATCTGCCTGAAGTTATGTATACAACTGCTCCGGCTCAATCTGCCTGGAGGGACTCTCAGGAAAGGAATATGACTGCTCCGGCTCAATCTGCCAGGAGGGACTCTGTTATGTTATAAAGAAATGAAAGCATGGCAGCTTTTATAGGGCGAAAAGGAAGGAGATCATCATAGAGTCTGCATGAGCCATGAGTCATGAAAAAGGGCAAAAGTCTGTTGTGTCAGTCCAAACAGAACTTGGGAAGGCATAGCAACAGTATCTAAATGTATTAGGATGAAAGAAGCAAACCGAACTTTGGAGGAGAACAGAGGCCAGGGAGGGCATTAGCAAATGGATGCAAACAGGATCTAGAAAGGGTCATGAGTCATGACTGTCCGCATGACCTCAGTCAGGGTCAGGGAGGTACAGTACAACATGTGGGTGTTAGTTCTACATGTACATACAGGTACATACAGGTGTCATGATCTAAACTAGCAAAGATAATTATGTAGTATGCAATCCAACAAGCGCAAGAGAAACACAAGTGGTGAGAAGTGATATAATTAGCTTTGCAGGCTTGTCAGCAAAGGAGTGACAAGAGTCATGCAGTGCGTGTACGTGTACATGTGACATGATTCGAGGTCAGTATAATTATAGATGTAGTACTAGTACTAGTAGTAGTAGTCAGCTACAGTTCAGTACTGGCAAGGCAGGGATACTACACCTTTGTTCGTATCTTCACCTTCACCATGACGAAAACGTTTGATAATATTAATAATGAGGCCGAAGCTTGCCTGTTGCGGATCTGGTGCCAGATTTACGCTTCCAATGACTTCCGCTCCCCAAGATTTTTTTATTTTGAATATACTCGCGCCCGCATGCCGTTATTTTTTGCCCATGGACTGCTAAAAATGTTGCTGATTGTTGCAATGTTGGCAAAACGAAGTGTTCGATGTGTGTGTGTGTGTGAATCGACTTGTACAGCAAGTCGACGTTTTGGTTGAAAACGACGTCACAGAAAGACGCGAGTGTGAAACGGCTAGGCTATCCAGGGAGTCGACTCCCTGGATAGGAGAAAACGCACGTGCAAGCGCGCATTTGTACATAAAAGTATGTACAGCTGGGGCCGGAGCATGCTAGCAAGCAAAAAAAAGAAAAAAACTTGATCTTTATCGCCCAGACAACCAGTCGAGAAATGGCTGTGCAAGAGAAGGTTTCTGGTGGCGATTTGGCATTGGGTGCCATCTTCAGCTACCTTTCCCTGAAAGAATTAGGACGATGTAGTTGTGTTTGTAAGCAGTGGGAGAGAGTAATTCGTAATGGAGGTCCGAGATTATGGAAGCCTCTGGTTCTGGAGCTCGTCCCGAAGCGTGCGCAGAAAAGTAAAACAATGAAAGATTGTTTTCAGTACCTCCGGATCGAATCATCTCAAGCCTTTCGAGCAATGCTTCGTAGCTTTTTGAATAGCTGGAGTCCCCACGATCACTCCCCTAACATGCGAGTAACGGAGGATCCGTATGTAATGCATCGTGAGCCAGTAGCTCAGTCGTCGGATCTAGCACGAACGAAATACGGCTTCAAAGATGGACAGCATAGTTGGATGGTGCGGTGGCCGTCCAGTGCAGGATCCGAAGCAGTGCTAGGTAAGACTTTTGTGCGGGGTGTGTCTGGCCTTCAGAAAGCCTACGACGTCTTGTCCGTGTCAGCAGCTGACATTGGTCCACGATGTTGGCTTTCCATAATTCAATAATTTGATTTTTACGATTAATTTATTCCGTAAAGTAGTTTTTTGCCAAATCAGGAAATGAAACTTATTCCAATAAAATAATCGGCGTGACAGTGACAGTGACAGTGGAGACTCTGAGAGACATACATGTAGTAGGGGTGTTTGCATAAAGTTCATTCAGTATAACTAATAGTCACTATGCTGTGTGTGTGTATCATCAGCAATACATATCAGTTCATCATCATCATCTGCGTTGCCGAAAAAATAATAGTAAGGCCAAACTAAAGAAGGTGTGTGGTTCGACTAACATGGACATTTTTTTTACGGGCGGGCGGGCGGGCGGATTTTTGTTTTTTTAAATATATTTTTTAGTACATGTAAATACACTGTATACGCGTATCGAGTAGACTCTACTACCAGCACAAGGCAGCAGTCGTACCACTCACTGCACTGCACTGCAGTACAACTACAAGTCAAGTCCAAAAGGAGCCGCCTGCGTCCGCAGACTCACGCCGCACAGCACGTAGACGTGGACGTGTTCAGTCCACGTACGTCAGTCACACGACAGCCCGCCGAAAAAAAGTTACGGTCGGGCTGAAATTGTACGGTCGGTCGGGTGAGTCGAACCACACACCTTCTTTAGTTTGGCCTAAAATAAAAAATAAAAATAAAAAACGGCATTATGCAGCTGTGTAAGCAGTCGATGCACAGTGTGACTGCCTATCAGTTACATGGTATTATTGTGTATATGATACAACCCAACAGTACGCTTGTACGTGAAATATAAACCGACATACAAACCGAGGCGAAGCCGAGGTTTGTATGATGGTTTATATTTCACGTACAAGCGTACTAGTGGGATGTATTATACTTATGCTGACCTTCATACAAACTGACAGTCAACTTCTTCCTGTTTCTATGGTGGCGGTCTATATGGGGTTTGTATGAGGTTTATATGCCCAGTATAAGCCGCCAGCATGATGGGCAAGTTGACTGGAAGTTTGTATGAAAGGTCAGCATAAAACCCAATACTAGTTCAGAACTAGTACATGCTGTCAATCTAACAATATGCATATCAGTTACATGTAGCAGTAGTCTATGTGCCATGGCAGTATGTGTGCCATGGCAGTATGTGTGCCATGGTAGTATGTGTGCCATGGCAGTATGTGTGCACTGACCAAATGAAATTCCAGCCCAAGTTTATCATGCACAGGAATGTGTATGCTATGCACACATACGGTTTCTTTTCAGTTCGACATGGAAATGTGTGTGCGTGTGTGTGTGTGTGTGTGGTACATAGCAAGGTAATGAAACACATGGTGTGCCGCTCCAGACGGGGGTCTGCCACGGCAAATTTCCTGGATTGCATTATTCGCGAGATTTGTTAGATTGTATGTCTTGTGAAGCTACGGCGCCGTACTCTTTATTGTGTGTGTGTGTGTGTAGTGTATGTGTAGGGTGGGTGGTAGGGTACGCATGTATCGTAAAGTGCCACAGTGGAACGTCCCACCACCTTGTCGTGTTGTGGGGCCGGGGGTTGTCCTGTCATACAACACGTACACAGTTCCTACACGTACCCAATACCTACACACACGTACCTGCACACGCGTCTGTCCCCTTTGAAAAACGCGTTGCTGCGGAATTATTCGCTGAAATGTCCATCATCCGCGGAAATCCCGGAATCCACACTTTTGCCCGCGGAATCTGAGTTTTTGCCCATAAATTAGTAAAATTACTACTCAGAAAGCAGCATAAAAGCTTTCTATGCGATCTATTTGGGCACGTTGTCATTGCTCTTGTCAGTGTAGGTGAGTGCAGGTCTCTCCAAGATCTTCACTCTCATTCCGCTTGTGACGGCAAAGGAAAGTGTGAAAAGTACTCCATCATGAAACTAGCTCTCATATCCTCTGCTAGGAGGGTGAAAAACTTGCAGAACGTGCCGCAGATTTTTGATTTTACTGCAGAGAATGCCGCCGATTAACCCCCTTTTCACACACACGTACCTTGTACTCACACACTGCTGCATGTGTGTGAAGTCAGACAGTATGTACTCAGTTTACCTTGGAGCAGATGTGATTTCCACACAAGAACATGCCAAGGGTGAACCTTGCTGCCCTAAGGCTCTCACACCGTAAAGAAAAACAGTTGCACTCTGCCGTACAATTTTCCTTTCCCTGGCTGTAAATCAAGGTGGGGCGTTCTCGCATGACGAGGCGCTCTCGCGCCACAGTGCAACACATTGTTCTGCTGCTGTTCCTTAGCTAGAGGTCACCCGCCTTACCGAACTGTGAACCCAGAGGTTTTCACTGGTGTAATGTTTTCGGTATGTCTCAAAAGCGGGTTTTCAGTAGCGTTTCATTTTTCAGTATCTGTAAGTTTGCCGTGCTCTCCGACAAGTGAAGTGCTGATACAATAACATGCTGTCATCAGCATACAGTCATGTTTGACGATAACAGCATGTTAGAAGGTGGAGAACGCACTGTCAGGGTGCGAACCGAGGGCTTGACCACATACGGAAGTTGTTGAACATAAAACTCCGCCGGAAATTCCTGGTCTTTGCAGTAACATTAATTATAGCACGATCAAGTGTTCACATGAGTGGGCAGAAGCGTAGGTGTCACGTGTTGGCCTCTCACATTGCTCACTCTGCTGCCACATGTAGCCAGTATGTGCAGGGTACATAATGGTTCTGTATGTTATCATATCGGAATGCATTCTTCAGACTGTAGGGGGGGGGGGGGGGGGGGGGGGGGGGAGGTCTTTGTGTGTGTGTGTGTGTGTGTGCGTATACGTGTTATTAAAGGGGAAGTTAAGGCTAAAATCAAAATTTCACCAGTTGTAGTCTTCGGGGTGCTGAGTCGAATGGTCTTGGTCAGGAATCTGAGACGCTCCCTTCCTACTTTAATCCCAATCGAACTCGCGCACTTCCACTGAAACTGGGTGACTGCGCCCTACTAGATGGGGATTTGTATGCAAAATGTCACTAAAAGCGCCATTTCGTTCTTATAAAAGCACGAATGACCGCGATTGGTCCATATGTTGTAGTCTTTTGGACGCTGAGTCGACTGGTTTTGGTCCGAAAAGGCTGCGATGCAGCGTTCGGCCCTTATTCCCAATCGAACATGGTTGAACAAGCGGTCACGTGCTCCTGCGTACACCAGTCACCTGGTTACCGTGCCTGCAGGGTACAACTTACAGCCTGTTTTGACCTTTTTTGGGTGCAGTCCTGTCACTCGAGTTGAACCTTGGTGTGAAAGTTGTCGCCTGCTGGCGCGGTGACCAGGTGACTTGGGCACGCAGGAGCACGTGACCGCTTGTTCAACCATGTTCGATTGGGAATTAAGGAGGAACGCTGCATCGCAGCTTTCTCGGACCAAAACCAGTCGACTCAGCGTCCAAAAGAGTACAACATATGGGCCAATCGCGGTCATCCGTGCTTTTATCAGAACGAAATGGCGCTTTTAGTGACATTTTGCATACAAATCCCCATCTAGTAGGGCGCAGTCACCCAGTTTCGGTGGAAGTGCGCGAGTTCGATTGGGATTAAAGTAGGAAGGGAGCGTCTCAGCTTCCTCGGACCACGACCATTCGACTCAGCACCCCGAAAACTACAACTGGTGACATTTTGATTTTAGCCTTAACCTTCCCCTTTAATATTCTCTCATTACCTCATTACATCATCATGACATCATCATATTTATAGTATTAATTGTAGTGTTATATGGTGTGACTGTTGTGACTGTCGTGTACAGGTGTTGCGTTGGAGTCTGCAAGAAAGCAGTGCAGTGGTTACGTTGGCTTGCTGGGCGAGAACAAGAAGGGTTGGGGATGGCATCTTGGTAAAGGCAAGCTACTGCATGACGGTGGTCTGCTGGGACAATACCCACTGCCGGGCACGAAGGAGGCACCGTTCTCCGTAAGTTGTCATCTTCACAGTTAATTGGGAATTCGTGCTCGTGGCATGGATGCAGCGAATGGGATTTTCGGTCTTTGACCACTTTGGTGGTGGGTCTGATCTCACCTCCCACCGCTTTAGGAGCTGGATCCGCACCTTGATCCATAGAGGATGGTGGTGTTCCTACGGATGCGGAAAACTCGGCCTCCAGCCGAGTATCACGCAAACTGTGATTTTTTTGTGATCTTTACACTCAGGCTATGCTCAATAAGTCTTAATACCCATTTTTCGTTTTGTTTAGGTCTTTAAATGTTGGCTTTAAACCAGTCATATACGGTACGTGTATACGGGATACAGACCGCACGTGCATAGCCATCGCTACATGTGCATAGCCATGGCTACATGAAATTCTCTTACAGATTGCATAAGAGAGTGTTGGACAAGTAAGGGATAGCGCAGCCAGGCGGCGTGTTGGACAAGTAAGGGATAGCGCAGCCAGGCAGCGTGTTGGACAAGTAAGGGATAGCGCAGCCAGGCAGCGTCACTACCTGTACGGAAAGGTACATGTAGTTCACACTGTGTCGTCTATTCTCACCATAGGAGCAAGCGGTGTTAGAGACCTCTGTGTCTATTCTCACCATAGGAGCAAGCGGTGTTAGAGACCTCTGTGTCTATTCTCACCATAGGAGCAAGCGGTGTTAGAGACCTCTGTGTCTATTCTCACCATAGGAGCAAGCGGTGTTAGAGACCTCTGTGTCAATTCTCACCATAGGAGCAAGCGGTGTTAGAGACCTCTGTGTCTATTCTCACCATAGGAGCAAGCGGTGTTAGAGACCTCTGTGTCTATTCTCACCATAGGAGCAAGCGGTGTTAGAGACCTCTGTGTCTATTCTCACCATAGGAGCAAGCGGTGTTAGAGACCTCTGTGTCAATTCTCACCATAGGAGCAAGCGGTGTTAGAGACCTCTGTGTCTATTCTCACCATAGGAGCAAGCGGTGTTAGAGACCTCTGTGTCTATTCTCACCATAGGAGCAAGCGGTGTTAGAGACCTCTGTGTCTATTCTCACCATAGGAGCAAGCGGTGTTAGAGACCTCTGTGTCTATTCTCACCATAGGAGCAAGCGGTGTTAGAGACCTCTGTGTCTATTCTCACCATAGGAGCAAGCGGTGTTAGAGACCTCTGTGTCAATTCTCACCATAGGAGCAAGCGGTGTTAGAGACCTCTGTGTCAATTCTCACCATAGGAGCAAGCGGTGTTAGAGACCTCTGTGTCAATTCTCACCATAGGAGCAAGCGGTGTTAGAGACCTCTGTGTCTATTCTCACCATAGGAGCAAGCGGTGTTAGAGACCTCTGTCTCTATTCTCACCATAGGAGCAAGCGGTGTTAGAGACCTCTGTGTCTATTCTCACCATAGGAGCAAGCGGTGTTAGAGACCTCTGTGTCAATTCTCACCATAGGAGCAAGCGGTGTTAGAGACCTCTGTGTCTATTCTCACCATAGGAGCAAGCGGTGTTAGAGACCTCTGTGTCTATTCTCACCATAGGAGCAAGCGGTGTTAGAGACCTCTGTGTCTATTCTCACCATAGGAGCAAGCGGTGTTAGAGACCTCTGTGTCTATTCTCACCATAGGAGCAAGCGGTGTTAGAGACCTCTGTGTCTATTCTCACCATAGGAGCAAGCGGTGTTAGAGACCTCTGTGTCTATTCTCACCATAGGAGCAAGCGGTGTTAGAGACCTCTGTGTCTATTCTCACCATAGGAGCAAGCGGTGTTAGAGACCTCTGTGTCTATTCTCACCATAGGAGCAAGCGGTGTTAGAGACCTCTGTGTCAATTCTCACCATAGGAGCAAGCGGTGTTAGAGACCTCTGTGTCAATTCTCACCATAGGAGCAAGCGGTGTTAGAGACCTCTGTGTCAATTCTCACCATAGGAGCAAGCGGTGTTAGAGACCTCTGTGTCTATTCTCACCATAGGAGCAAGCGGTGTTAGAGACCTCTGTGTCTATTCTCACCATAGGAGCAAGCGGTGTTAGAGACCTCTGTGTCAATTCTCACCATAGGAGCAAGCGGTGTTAGAGACCTCTGTGTCTATTCTCACCATAGGAGCAAGCGGTGTTAGAGACCTCTGTGTCTATTCTCACCATAGGAGCAAGCGGTGTTAGAGACCTCTGTGTCAATTCTCACCATAGGAGCAAGCGGTGTTAGAGACCTCTGTGTCAATTCTCACCATAGGAGCAAGCGGTGTTAGAGACCTCTGTGTCAATTCTCACCATAGGAGCAAGCGGTGTTAGAGACCTCTGTGTCAATTCTCACCATAGGAGCAAGCGGTGTTAGAGACCTCTGTGTCAATTCTCACCATAGGAGCAAGCGGTGTTAGAGACCTCTGTGTCTATTCTCACCATAGGAGCAAGCGGTGTTAGAGACCTCTGTGTCTATTCTCACCATAGGAGCAAGCGGTGTTAGAGACCTCTGTGTCTATTCTCACCATAGGAGCAAGCGGTGTTAGAGACCTCTGTGTCAATTCTCACCATAGGAGCAAGCGGTGTTAGAGACCTCTGTGTCAATTCTCACCATAGGAGCAAGCGGTGTTAGAGACCTCTGTGTCTATTCTCACCATAGGAGCAAGCGGTGTTAGAGACCTCTGTGTCTATTCTCACCATAGGAGCAAGCGGTGTTAGAGACCTCTGTGTCTATTCTCACCATAGGAGCAAGCGGTGTTAGAGACCTCTGTGTCTATTCTCACCATAGGAGCAAGCGGTGTTAGAGACCTCTGTGTCTATTCTCACCATAGGAGCAAGCGGTGTTAGAGACCTCTGTGTCTATTCTCACCATAGGAGCAAGCGGTGTTAGAGACCTCTGTGTCTATTCTCACCATAGGAGCAAGCGGTGTTAGAGACCTCTGTGTCAATTCTCACCATAGGAGCAAGCGGTGTTAGAGACCTCTGTGTCTATTCTCACCATAGGAGCAAGCGGTGTTAGAGACCTCTGTGTCTATTCTCACCATAGGAGCAAGCGGTGTTAGAGACCTCTGTGTCTATTCTCACCATAGGAGCAAGCGGTGTTAGAGACCTCTGTGTCTATTCTCACCATAGGAGCAAGCGGTGTTAGAGACCTCTGTGTCAATTCTCACCATAGGAGCAAGCGGTGTTAGAGACCTCTGTGTCAATTCTCACCATAGGAGCAAGCGGTGTTAGAGACCTCTGTGTCAATTCTCACCATAGGAGCAAGCGGTGTTAGAGACCTCTGTGTCAATTCTCACCATAGGAGCAAGCGGTGTTAGAGACCTCTGTGTCTATTCTCACCATAGGAGCAAGCGGTGTTAGAGACCTCTGTGTCAATTCTCACCATAGGAGCAAGCGGTGTTAGAGACCTCTGTGTCAATTCTCACCATAGGAGCAAGCGGTGTTAGAGACCTCTGTGTCAATTCTCACCATAGGAGCAAGCGGTGTTAGAGACCTCTGTGTCTATTCTCACCATAGGAGCAAGCGGTGTTAGAGACCTCTGTGTCTATTCTCACCATAGGAGCAAGCGGTGTTAGAGACCTCTGTGTCTATTCTCACCATAGGAGCAAGCGGTGTTAGAGACCTCTGTGTCAATTCTCACCATAGGAGCAAGCGGTGTTAGAGACCTCTGTGTCAATTCTCACCATAGGAGCAAGCGGTGTTAGAGACCTCTGTGTCTATTCTCACCATAGGAGCAAGCGGTGTTAGAGACCTCTGTGTCTATTCTCACCATAGGAGCAAGCGGTGTTAGAGACCTCTGTGTCTATTCTCACCATAGGAGCAAGCGGTGTTAGAGACCTCTGTGTCTATTCTCACCATAGGAGCAAGCGGTGTTAGAGACCTCTGTGTCTATTCTCACCATAGGAGCAAGCGGTGTTAGAGACCTCTGTGTCAATTCTCACCATAGGAGCAAGCGGTGTTAGAGACCTCTGTGTCAATTCTCACCATAGGAGCAAGCGGTGTTAGAGACCTCTGTGTCAATTCTCACCATAGGAGCAAGCGGTGTTAGAGACCTCTGTGTCTATTCTCACCATAGGAGCAAGCGGTGTTAGAGACCTCTGTCTCTATTCTCACCATAGGAGCAAGCGGTGTTAGAGACCTCTGTGTCTATTCTCACCATAGGAGCAAGCGGTGTTAGAGACCTCTGTGTCAATTCTCACCATAGGAGCAAGCGGTGTTAGAGACCTCTGTGTCTATTCTCACCATAGGAGCAAGCGGTGTTAGAGACCTCTGTGTCTATTCTCACCATAGGAGCAAGCGGTGTTAGAGACCTCTGTGTCTATTCTCACCATAGGAGCAAGCGGTGTTAGAGACCTCTGTGTCAATTCTCACCATAGGAGCAAGCGGTGTTAGAGACCTCTGTGTCTATTCTCACCATAGGAGCAAGCGGTGTTAGAGACCTCTGTGTCTATTCTCACCATAGGAGCAAGCGGTGTTAGAGACCTCTGTGTCTATTCTCACCATAGGAGCAAGCGGTGTTAGAGACCTCTGTGTCTATTCTCACCATAGGAGCAAGCGGTGTTAGAGACCTCTGTGTCAATTCTCACCATAGGAGCAAGCGGTGTTAGAGACCTCTGTGTCAATTCTCACCATAGGAGCAAGCGGTGTTAGAGACCTCTGTGTCAATTCTCACCATAGGAGCAAGCGGTGTTAGAGACCTCTGTGTCTATTCTCACCATAGGAGCAAGCGGTGTTAGAGACCTCTGTGTCTATTCTCACCATAGGAGCAAGCGGTGTTAGAGACCTCTGTGTCAATTCTCACCATAGGAGCAAGCGGTGTTAGAGACCTCTGTGTCTATTCTCACCATAGGAGCAAGCGGTGTTAGAGACCTCTGTGTCTATTCTCACCATAGGAGCAAGCGGTGTTAGAGACCTCTGTGTCAATTCTCACCATAGGAGCAAGCGGTGTTAGAGACCTCTGTGTCAATTCTCACCATAGGAGCAAGCGGTGTTAGAGACCTCTGTGTCAATTCTCACCATAGGAGCAAGCGGTGTTAGAGACCTCTGTGTCAATTCT